ATCCTTGAGCATGCTCACATGCTCAACTAACCCGTACAAAACCCTTGTTAGAGATGCTTTAGAACCACGTGTGTGTGTGGGTACGGAAGGAGGGAGGGGGTACGTTACTCGTACAAGGATTGTAATGACTTTATAGTTAATTTTGGCTTTATTTGATGTACCCATGGGTGGAAGAAAATTTACCCGTGTTAATGGACAATGTGCGGAAATGAGTAAGTTAGATCGGGTTTTGCTTGAAAGAAGTCTTTGATACATTTACAAATTTAACAACTACATACCTAACTACTTAACTAGGGTGTGGTCGGATCATAATCACATTATTTAAAAAATATATATATTTAGATTATGGACCCATGCCTTTTCATTTATTCAAATTCACTGATGACTTTCGAGGGATTTGAACATGTCGTGACTTCCACTTGAGCCAAGTATTGGGGTGTATGGTGGTGTGGTGATAACAAATTCATTGTTTTCGGAAACAAGCTCAAAGAGCTAAAACACCAACTTAGAAGTTGGCAATTGAGTGTAATGACTCAAAAGGATGGCGTGAAAAAGGACTTCATTAAAACTTAGGTGACATTGATAAATTGTTCGATGTGTGGTTCATTGCATTGAGAACTTGTGGGTTACATGGCGATGTTGACTTTGAGTGGTGGGCTGTCACTAATATTTGTTAAGGAAACCCTGAATTTCCCTTCGACTCATATTACTTTTGGCGATTTTGTATTCGGCAAAGATTTTAAGTACTGGGATACTGAATTTTAAACAAGCAGTAAAGTTACTTTTTTTTTTAAAGAAATTATATATTTATATAAAATATTTGATTTTGTTCTTCAAAGGTTATTAATATTAGAATTAGATATATCAGTTTTTGAGCGGAGATAATATCTTTGGTTTCAATCAACTATACGTTATCATATCAAACGGCTTCTAACCCAACGATATCAAATATTTCATTGTTATCTTAAAGATCAATGGTTCAAGTCTTGTCCATAACATATATATATATATATATATATATATATATATATATATATATATATATATATATATATATATAGGTTCAGGTTCATTTGAGATCATTTTAATTTTGTGAGACCGTGAGATCAAATCTAAAAATAATTTTAAAATGCAAAATAAATGGAAAAATCCAAAAATTCTTTTTTTAAATATTATTTTCGGAACATGAATTAACTAAAAAAAATATAAAAAAATAAAAAAAATTCCGTTTTTTTTTTTTTTTTGAAAAATACGTGAAATATTCTAAATAGAATATTACACTGACATATTCTAAAAAATAATTTTAAAATGCAAAATAAATGGAAAAATCTAAAAATTCTTTTTTTAAAATATTATTTTCGGAACTTAAATTAACTAAAAAAAATAAAAAAAATTCTATTTTTTTTGAAAAATACGTGAAATATTCTAAATAGAATATTACACTGTACATATTCTAAAAATAATTTTAAAATGCAAAATAAATGGAAAAATCAAAAAATTCTTTTTTTAAATATTATTTTCGGAACATGAATTAACTAAAAAAAAATAAAAAAAAAATAAAAAAATGCGTCTCACGGTCTCACAAAATATAGGTGGTCTCAAATGAATCTAACCCTATATATATATATATATATATATATATATATATATATATATATATATATATATATATATATATATATATATATATATATATATATATATATATATAATTTAAATGTAGATTAGATTTTTTGATAAAAAAAATTAACTATTTATTAGGGTGGAGGGTATCTCTCTCAACCCAGTCATGATTTCAGTTTTTTATTTTTATTTTTATATATTTTATTATTATTATTATTTTATTTCACTTCCAACTCCTCTATCAAACAATATATGTAAACTCATCTTTTTCATCATACAAACAAATCTCATTTTTTATTTTAAAATAAATACAAATTAAATAAATCATATAAAATTAATTAACAAAAATATTAAAACCATACAAAACTAATTAAAACCTTACAAACCTAATCTAATATAAGTATTAATGCACGATGTACAAGTAAACAAACCATGAAAGGTAGAAAGAAAGTCTAGAGAGAGAAAAAGGAAGCAAATTACATAACCCGTTGAATTGTAAGGTACCACCTTGGTCGTAACTATGTTCATGGAGGTACCATCGGTACCTGCTCATTTTTCTTCAACCCTCAACCCATATATTCCACCCTTATTTGCATAATATTTTTTTATAAGATATTTTTGTAATTAGTCCCATCCAATTAGTAATACTTTAGTAGTGTATTTATTATACCTTTTTAAGCAATTAGGTATGAAACGCGTGTATTACACGAGTTTATTTAAAAAAAAAAAAAAACTATATATAAAATTATAAACATTTGAGAATTTTGAATTTATAAGAAAAATGAGAAAAATATTGAAATATAAAAATTAGAGAAATCTTCAGAAAAATCCTAAAATTTTTGGATTAGTTTATGACGTAGTCCTAAATTAAATTTCATTAATGAAAAAGAACAAGAAACTGGCTATTGTAATCACTTTTACCCCTTTTTACTTTTTCAGCAGGTTACTGCTGATATGGAATGCCAACTATATTGCTGAGCTGAGGTGGCGTCTGAGGTGGCATCCCATTCCTTTGCAAAGTAAAAACCAATTTTTTTTTGGGGAAAACATATCAACGGGGACTCAAACCTTTGACCTCTAACTTACAAACCGAACAACTTACCAAGTGATCTAGAAGAGGTTATTGTTTTGTTTTCTTCATATTTATTTATTAATCCTTATGACCTTCGTCTTCCTTCATATGTAAAGACGAACCTGCAACTTCTTCCTCCATATTAATTCACAAAAAACAAGAAATTAAGACTTCTTCTCATTAAGATTCTACTCATCATCAGGTAATCTATTTTACTTCACTACAAACCCTAATGGATTTTCTGCTTTCCCCTTTTCTTTCCTCCATCGCTCAAATCAGAACAATCTCAAGATTCCCAAACCCGAAAGAATGGAATGGCGAGATGTTATTGTCGTTATTGTAGGGGAGATCAAGATCGGAAACATTAGCATAGTGGTGTTGTTTAAGGGAGATAAGAAGGAAGTACATGAAATTCTTAGTAACTCATTTAAATTGAAGAAGATGAAGTCCGTTAGTATATTGAGAAGATATTGAAGCTCGATGGTTCTTGTGGGTGGTCAGAAACTTGTGGTGGTGGTGGGGGGGGGGGGGGGGATCAAGATCCAATTTCCATTTCCTTCACCTCACTTAATCCTTCGGTTTTAACTCTGATTCATTTATAAATTAGGGTTTTAAGTGGCTTAGAGAAGATGGAGGAAGCATACCCGGTTTAATGTGTGGTTGGGTGGGGGTAAACATATTTGAAGAAATAATATTAACAGATTCTTCTAGTTCACTTGGTAAGTTGTTCGGTTTGTAAGTGGGAGGTTAAGGGTTCGAGTCCCCCTCGATCTTTTTTCCCCCCAAAAAAATATGGTTTTTACTTTGTAAAGGAATAGGATGCCACCTCAGACGCCACCTCAGCTCAACAATATAGTTGGCACTCCACATCAATAGTAACCTAGTAAAAAGGGATAAAAGTGATTACAATAGCCTATTTACTATCCTTTTTCATTAATGAAATTTAATTTAGGACTAGATCATAAATTGGCCCAAAATTTTAAGATTTTTCTTGAGATTTCCCTAAAAATTAAAGTGTTTTTTCTTCTAAATTTAAACAAATAATTTAGATAAATAAATAAAGGAAATTAATGACACTTTAATTTAGTAATTTTAAAATTAAAAGGAAAGTTCATTAATGAAATTAATATGCATTTATTATTGCATTTAAATACTATGTGGAATTAATATAATAGAAAAACCATAAAATGACATTTGGCAAATTGAATGAGAGTGTAACAAGTAACAAAAAAAATTCATTTATTAGAGTAGATAGTTTTTATTAAACTATCAAGAAGCTAGATAGAACACCTAATTACATCGAACTTGACTGTGGTAGGCACAATCGCTTTCAATGAAAATTTTGCTTTCTAAATCCGCCCTCTTCAAGCTGTTGAATATAGATAGGAAATCCGCTTCAATTTCTCTCTTCTCCCACCTCTCTAGCTTGGGAATAGTTCTTTATACCGACGATCTATCTGTATAATGGCAGTTTAAGCTACCTTATGGATGGAGCAAGAAAAGGTATGCGCAGGCGCAATAGTTCAAGGCGGACAGGAAAGGATATGTAGTAAAGGCTTAGCATAGGCAGGGGATAGACATTCAAAACACTATCTTAAAATACCATATATAAGAGAAAGAGTGGCTCGTGCATAGTCTCAATTCTGCTTCCAACTCCCGAGCTTGGACGTATAGCAAGATTGAGGACTTCCACGAAATGAAAACAGGCGGCATCGCCGTATGCTCCACTTTTGTTGCCCTGGTTTATATCCCGGAGTACTCCTATGGCCGATCTATCACCCAACCTACTTAAACAACCTCCACTTTCTTGAATGAAGTGAAGTGGGAAGGGAATGCGAATAGGATAGGTTTGCGAAAGACCGAGGTCTTGACTTCTGCCTGTGCCTCTCGCTTTCATTCACAGGTTAGCCGAAGTCCTTTGAAGGTCTGCTTGCACGAAGATAGTGATTCGATCTTCCATGCCTTCTTTCGTTAGACCAAGGCTAGACTGGATGCTGCTACTACATGTACATCAGCTAAGATTGATTCTCTTACCTGCATCCTTCACCTAGAAAGGTACTTTGGTACTAACCTGAAAGTCTCAACATCTCCTTAAAAAAGGATTAATAAGGAATGCTAAAAAGAAAAAAATCTAAGGCTGAAACTGAAACAACACTATAGCTCCTTCGATTTTGCTCGTTATGCTCCTTAGTAAGTGAATTGAGGCTAGCAACCGATAGCAACTGTAGCATTAGGATCGGCATTGGAAGATTTTCGTCAAGGTCATACTTAAACCGTATGATCCTTATAATTCATGATAGTTTGACTAAGGAAGCATGCATTGGAACTTGTTCTCAAAACAGGTGGTCAGGCTAGTATGGAAGTTGGTATTTTGATTCACATCACTGTACATCATACAAATTAATAACTTGGAAAAGATCACGAAATATACTTCAAATTTTAAAATTAGATGATGACTTTTATATAACATCTCAAATAGATGAAGATAGATAACTTAATTCAGAAGAAAAAAAAAAAAAAAAAAAAAACTTTTGAAACTTTTGGACCGAGGAAGGTTTATAATAACAAGTTTTCGTCAAATAAAATTAGTGGAAAAATAATATGGAATAAATAACATGTCATTGATAGGTTAGCCCTTGTGGATTCTCTTGATACAAAATTTCTAACTTTGTTGTATCTTATAACAATACGTTACCTATTGTGGATGCTCTTAATGCAAACATTCTATCTTTACAAGAACAACAACAATAACATTAATAGTAACAGTAACATTTTAGCTAATAAATAAGCATCTTCTTAATTCATATATTACAGACGTCAATGCATTTAGGACCATAATATCGCATGTGGAAAACCATACGATAGAAAATATAGAGCCCACAATTGCCCCCACGACCACTTGGCTGGTAGTGTGATAACGTAATAGAACACGTAGCCATGTCTGCATACAAAAATGATACAACATAAGCACAACAAAGGAATATGTGCTAAACTTTTAGCATTTAAAAGACGTTATCAGTTTAATTATTATAGATTGTGTATAGCTGACATAAAATTCTTACGACAAAATACTCGTCATAACAATTTTATACGTCGGTCTATAATGTTTGAAAAAATGGCCAACATAGGTGAAGTCATATTCTTGGATAATTCAATATAAACCTAAAATTCAAAAAAATAAAAATAAAAATAAAAAAATTTGCAATGTCATAGATGAAGGGGATTGTATACTTACAAAATATACACCAACTGCTATAATGAGTCCACTCAGAATAGCTGAATATCCGTTCAATCCCACCCATCCAACGACTGTGTCAACGAGAATAAAAAAAGATATAAGACATTGCAAGATCAAAAATTACAATTTTTTAAATCATGAACAAAATCTGAAGCTGTTCGCATTGTTCATGAGGGAAATAATGTCGATGAATTTTAAAGAGGAAAAGTATAGGAAGAACAAAAGAGGGTTAATTACTTGAAAGAATCATGAAAATGGTGGCAAACGAAATGGATTGAGCATGTGAAGATGGCATTCCAGGGCCACAACACACTTCAGAAACGGGTCGTTCTTGATTTATAATCTTCTTCAGAGTGAATGATAAAACGACGTTTAGAACAGAGCCTAGAACAGCCCATAGTGCTTGATTATCATCTCTCAAGAGAATGAATCCGCCAAAGCTTACAAGAATACACCACTTACTCTGCAATCAACCATAAAAACTTCAATCGACTCATCCGATTTGTCAAAATGCATCTGATAAACTCAATACAGAAATTGTTCGCCAAAAGTTTTTATAACAGCTCATGTAGCTTGCAAATCGAAGTGTGGTTTGTTTTCTGTAATAAAAAATAACAACAATGCGACTATGCGAGCATGATATCGATTAATAATTATTGAAATTGGAAAGCCTACCACGCGATTAAGAGCAATGTGAAGCACACCAACTGTTCGATGAAATGAAACGCCATTACTATCAATCGAAGCTTTCTGTTCAAAAGATGTACTGTTACATTCATGACCACCATCACCGATCGCCTCCTGATTCTCAATTGACTCAACTACCATCATCTTCTTCAGTTTGTAATAAGGGTTATGTTAGATTTGGGTGCTGAGTTCAAAAATGGTGGTGAATTTATTGAAGGGTGAGAGGATGTCTGCTCACTGTTGTCTACCGGTTGTGTGATTGAGCAAGCAAGTGAATTTATAAGGCCACCCTCTGTTTTTCTGAACCACCCTAAAACCAGAAACCAAAAACATTCCAATTTTGTCGATATTACTTATTTTTGAAATATATTTATTAAAAAAATATTATTTATTGGTTAAAAATTATTATAAGATATCAATAATAATATTATGATCCGCATGTTATTAGGATTTGGTCTTATTAATAATTGTTTTAATCATATTAAATAATAGTTACATGAATTTGTTAAATCATATATAACATTTTTTTAAAGGTAAACTGATATGATATTATTTTTAAACATCAAATTTCAATGATTAATCTTGAATTATTTGAATAGTACTTAAGTTCTGTACTCTTCCATTAAAAATTTGATAAGCGACCATGAAAGAATTTTTACCTTTTAATTATTAGTGTGAAGTGATTAAAAAGATATTCTTTATTCCTTGATTATTGTTTTAGATGGATATTATATATCCCCACGTAAATGTTCTAGTAGTATAGAGACCGTTAGTGTATCACTTTGATTAGACATGGTCTATCATGGAGTTTAGCCTTCCTCGACACCATATGTTACTTCATAAGTGTAACGTCCGTATTTCTAAGCTAGACATTAATAATGATAAATAGTCAATGCCAATCTTTGTAACTTGTTTTGAAATAATAACACGTATTATTGATTATTATGTGTTTTATGCTTAATTATTATAATTTAATGAATTAAGGGTAAAAATAAGGGTTAATGTCATAAAAACCCTCAAATTTTCAGGATTTTGTCGGTTTTGTCCAAACTTGAAATTTATGTCTGTTTTTACCCAAACATTTTCGAGAAAATGTTCGTTTTTACTCTTTTACCGATGATAATAGGTTTTCCAGATTACCATTATATTAAATTCGCAAAAAAACCCTTAAGTTTACAATTTTTTGCGTTTTTACCCTTAAGTTTATAATTTTTTTTTACACTTTTACCCTAAGTATATTTTTTTCATAATATACATATTCATGCAGAAAAATCGTATTTATATACGAAAAAATATTTAATTAAATATTGTATTTATATTTTTTTTAATGTTATATATATATATATATATATATATATATATATATATATATATATATATATATATATATATATATTTGTTTGTGTGTGTGTGTTTTTGCATGGTTATACCATTTAAAAAGAAAAACAATATTTTTAGAATTATGAATATGTGTTTTATAGATATAGTTTTTAGAAGTATAAATACATATTTTTACATTTTTATATATTAATATGTATCTATACTTCTAAAAATATATTTATACATAAAAAAAAAACATATATCAAAATACATATTTACACTTCTAAAAATATATGTATATACTTATATAAACATGCATGTTTATGAATGAACAAGTTTTTTTATTGATATGTATATTCTTAAATACATAAAAATACGTATTTGTAGTTCTAAAAGCATATTAATTTTTTTTTTACATCTTAAATGGTTTATCCAAGAAAAAAAATCCACACACACATGCACACACACACACACACAAACACACACACACACACACACACACATATATATATATATATATATATATATATATATATATATATATATATATATATATATATATATATAATTAACATTAAAAAAATGTATATATATATATATAAATAAATAATTAACATTAAAAAAATGTAAATACAATATTTAATTAAATTTTTTTTCGTTTATAAATATGATTTTTCTGCTTGAATACGTATAATATGAAAAAAAAAAATACATAGGGTAAAAGTGTAAAAAAATTATAAACTTAGGGGTAAAAATGTAAAAAAAAAAAAAAAAAAAAAAAACTGTAAACTTAAGGGTTTTTTGCAAAGTTAATATAATGGTAACCTGTTATCACCGGTAAAAGGGTAAAACCAAACATTCTTTGGAAAATGTAAGGGTAAAAACGGACATAAAATTCAATTTTGGGCAAAACCGACACAACCCTGAAAACTTGAGGGTTTTTATGACATTAGCCCTAAAAATAAGTGTCGAATATAAATGTTAGACAAACCTGATATCTATGAAGAAAGTTATAGTGGTTGAAATAAGGATTTCGTAGATATCAAGAATACCGAAATCCGAGTTATAACGAAGAAGTTATGACCTGTTGAAGTTTCACGACAGAATCAGCACAACGTTGTGTGACGTAAAAAGTGAATTTATGATAAAGTGCTTTTTAGCCTTAGAAATCTAAACGAAAGACGTATTGTTCGTTAAACCGAGAGCGTGCATAAAAAGAACGTCAAAATCTGACTTCGTATGAAGAAATTATGATTTTTCTAAGTTTCAGTATAACAATATACATATACAAACTCAAAATAAAGATCAAGTGATTTTTATCCGACACAACCTAAACGAGAATTGAAGGTCTCGTCAATATTAGTACAACGCTAAAAAGACAGACGAAAACAAACGTCGGATGAAAAAGTTATGAATTTTTAACGGATTTTCCTGTTCCGGTCTGTTAAAAATAATAATATTAAAATTAAAGTCAAAATTAGCCAACGGAGTCTAAACGAAAGTTGTAGAGTATAATCTCACCTACGCATGGATATAATGAACATCGAAAACGGAGCTCGTATGCAAAAGTTATGAATTTTGAAGTGCGAGGCACAAAAATCGAGAACCTTCGCAAATCTGAGGTCCTGGTTCGGCCACGTCACGTGACCCTCACAAGCCAGCCTTGTGTCCACCTCATGGCATGACCGAAGCAAGCTCCAATCGCGAAGCGATACGTGCCACATCGGTGGCGCATCTGAGCTCGGACCCGTGTGCGCCTGCGAACCGAGCCGCGTCCCCTCCATTCTCTCTTCGGTCTGAGGCCTTCCCACCCTATATAAGGGGAGGTGCAAACCCTTCCGGTTTTGGTTGGATTTTTGCACACGTTTACACCCTAAACTTTATTTTAAGCCACTTTTAACCCCCCGAAGCCCCATGAATGTACCTAACACCTGAAGAACGTCCCAGAGTGCCCGAAGACCCCGATAAATTTATCTTTTCGGTTTGAAGCTCAACCCTCGCAAGACCCGGTTCTCATTAAAGCTCCCGATTTCATTGGAAATGACCGTTTTAAGAAACGAAGTGTTGCCTGATTATCGTTAAATCAAGTGAGTGTGTAGTCATTTTTCATCTTACACATAGATATGAAGTACTTTCTATAAAATACGTGCTATGTGTAATTATATTGTTTGTTTATTTGAGATGGATGTTGAATAGATGTCTTATACACGTTTTAAACTGTATATATATTTTTATCTACAAATATATTGGGTAAAACATGGGTAGATGAAATGATTGATGTGTGTTAAAATGACAAGAGGCCTCAATGTTGTTGTTGTAGTCATCTAGCAGAGTATAGATGACGACCACAGACCTTTCTAGACAGTCCAGTGGAATGCTAGCAGGCTCGCAACCTATAGGTGTTGGTGAACTATAGGTTGGCTGGTGTACTCCACCCCCCTCATGGTTGCCTTAAGGATATATATATGTTAAGGAATCCCCTAAGCCGTAGTGTCCATCCCGATGATGATCCTTGAGCTAGGTCCCTTATGATAGGTGATTAGGGACGTAAAGTGAGGATAATGGAAACGAGTAATCAGGGTTATTGTTGGTTGATGAAATTAATAAATTCATTGTTGGTCGATAAAATTAATAAATTAATTATTATTTGTGGGTTGAAATCCCTATATGCTCACCAGCCTTCCAAGATTGACCCACTCAACTTTTTGTATTATAGGTAGTGGACCCCGAGCATAGTTGGATGACAACGAGGGATTTTTGGATTATATGTCAGTAGTTGTAAATAACTGTTGTAAAGCTTATAATATGTTGTTTATGCTTTTGGTCTGTATTGGAACATGACATCCCGATGTTTTGTTAAATAATGAAAATACACATCTTTAAGAAATGCTTTGATATATTTTTTTTTATCATATTTTGACTTGGGGACAAATTCCACAACATCTTTTGGAAGACTACTCTGATTTTATTTTAAAAACATAAACTAAATCGGTTTTTTTTTTGCCGAGAAAAATGGGGATGTCACAAATAGTTTGTTACTAAATGACTTGTAGTCCACTGATATAAAATGTATTGGAAAAGTGTGCTTCATTTAAGTGGGTAAGGATTAAAGTCTCGTGGTTGACAGAAGATGTAGAATTAGATTAAGATTAAAGGGTGTGTGAGTTAACCATTCTAAAATAAGTATTATGTTATTAGTTGCTGACTTCTTCAAATAAAGATCATCATGAGCTTATACCAAATATCCATGACAATAGTCTCTATATAAACCTAGTCAATCACATACTCTCCTATGGCTAACCACAAATAATAGACAATTCAATACCCGTTGTTTCATCTCCTTGAGCTCTTACGATGGCATACCCGGCTCTTATGATGGCATACCCGGTTGAAGCTCCATAAAAGCAAACATAACTGAATGACATTGGTTAGAGGTCAACATAAGCTTCATCTTACCATATAGACGGGTCACCACCCTCATTTCATTTTTCAATATGAAGAGTAGAGTCCAAAATGTTAATTGTAAGAAAAGCCCCCACTCGATTAGGGCATTGTATTGCAATATATATATATATATATATATATATATATATATACACACACACACACACAAACACGCACACAACCACACACACATAAAGGCCCTTACACTATACATAAATTGAAAATAAAGCTATAATTAACACACCCCATCAGTTTCAGCATGAGGTTTACAAATGTTCGAACTACCCTAAAAGTCTAAAACTAGACAATGGACATGATAACTCAAGAAGAAGACTACGAAGTTAAGTAGTGTCAACAACCACATTGGCCACCCCACGGTACTCAGCCTCAGCCGAGGAGCACGAAATAACATTTTGGCGTTTAGAGGACCAAGAAATGAGGTTATCACAAAGATAGCTGCAGAATCCAGAGGTAGAGCAACAAGTGTGAGGGAAACCGACCTAATACACATTAAAGTAAGAGAAAAAACGGTTAATAGAAGATAT